ATAATTATTTTAAGTGTCTAGAAAGTTTTAAGACATTAATAATTTGATGATAACATGATTAAAATACCATTTAAATTAAAGTAGTGATTAATTGTTTTATGAAAGAGTGCTTGATTCAATTTGTTAAAAGAATTAAAATAATTTAACCTAAGATCTTGAGTTTGAGTAGTGAAATATACAGTTACATTACAAAAAAATATGCCAAAAGTATCCTTGAGGTATTAGTGAGGTCGTCGTTGATAATGATGGTCTCACATAATAAGGGTTTGGATTAGTCTCAGTGAAAGATGATAATACTCAATTTCCAAGGACACGGAGCGATGAAATAAAAAAATTGCTTATTTTGTTTTGATCATTATCAAAATTAAAGTAATCATAGGTTTTTTACAACACTTAAATTTTAGTAAATTAAAAATTTGTATAAAAAAATTGTAGTTGTTTATTCCATTCTAATCATTGTTAAAAAAAATGTAATCATTACCTAAACTAAAATAATCATGACTATTTATAAAAATTTCATTTCATTGAATTAAAAATTTATACATAAAAATTGTAATTACTTGTTTTATTTTAGTTGTTATCAAAAGAATAATAGTCATTATTTAAACTAGAGTAACCATTAATATTTATTTTTTTTTGGACCAGGGCCCTTACCTTTTTATTTTAAAATTGGGAGTATTTAAGTCATTTTATAAAAAATTATTGATATTATAAATGTTTTTAAAGACTTAAAAGAATTATAACATTTTATTGAACCTTATTATGATTTTCATATTTAGGGAATTTTTCTGTTTTTTTTTCCTTCATTCAATTTTACAGTGTTAAAATTTTATATCTGAACCTTATTGTTAATATATATTTATTACATTTGGTCTATATATTTTTTTGGTTAACAATCTACATAATTTACTTAGATCTTATAATTTTCCCTATATTACATATTATATATATTGATAATTAATTTCAATTTTCCATTCAAATTTTTTTTATCAATATAAATCATTTATTCAAAATATAATATTTGCAATTAAACATGCCAACAACGGAACTTAATAATAGTATACAATAAGTTTAACAATAATAAACAAAAAATATTAGACTAATTATACAAAATCAACTAAATTTTTACTCCATGGAAACACTCAATCGTACAAGAATAATAGGAATAAACTCAGAAAATGTTAAGGTTAGATAAAAAGTTTTAAACTAATTCAATACAATGATACATTTCACAATTAGTTTGACTCTCGGAGTTGCTATATATATTTTACATGTGCAGCTAGCAAACTAAAGCTTACAAAATTTCACTTTTTTCAATAATTTAATATTAATTTACTTATTAGAAGATATTTTCATATATTTTATAGAAATAATTATATTTTTCGTAGGAAAATTCTTTTGAATCATGTTCATTTTTCGTCAAATAATGCGTGGGCTAAATAAGGTGGAGGAGGATCTACAAATGCTAATTTAATATTTATTTAGGAGCAGCACGATGTAAACACATGATTTTATGTAGCTTGATGCATTCTTAACTCGTTGGTTAAACCATATTCTTGCTCCATAATAATTGCTAATATATAAAAGGGGTATCTTCATCCAAGTACACTATATAAGCATAAAGAAAATTATAACATTCACATATGATCATAATGTTACATTTAAATTGATCTTGTGTGACAGTAGCTTCATAAATTGAATTTTAAAATTAACTCACTACTCCATGCTTAGTCCCTAAGTAATAGATTTTGGAGGAGGTAGACATATCTAGAGTGTAGTACTGGATAGAATACTAAATGTTGGAATGAAATCACGAGATTGGACTCAGTTTGTAAACTCACAACAAATGCATAAGAAGGAAAGCAGAGTATGACGAGATGAAACTTTGGTTATGGACACATTGAATATAAATTGCCTGCAATGTCTTCCATAAAACCACTCACTTGATGATCAATATGAAGAATGTGTCTATTGGGTAGAAAAAACCGTTTTCTCCAACATTCAAAATGACTATGAGAATATTATGATTCTGACCTCGATTTTATTACATGCAAGGGCTCAGACTTTTTTAATATTCTTATAAAGCCTCCACTTTAATTCGGCTTATATTGACTTTGATTAATCAAGTGTGAATAATCCAACGCTAAACTTACCTTTTTTTTTTTTCAAATTCCCTGTCTAGTACAAATATTGAAGAAGTTATGTAACCCATATCAAATAATACAAAGACTTAAAAAAAAAAAGCATCATATGAACATAAAAATGAAAGAGAAATGGATAAAGACATCATTAGATTTTTTTATGAAATGGTGTTAAGTTATAAAAAATAATTGAAAAACCGTGTTTATTGAAATTCTATACCACTGAAAGAAGTACCCATCAAAAGAAAAATTCATGAATACAAACATGATGAACACTTCATTTCCAAACTTTTGTGCATATACCTCCTCAATTTATTATGGAGACCATAATTTTTCAAAAAGAATTGAAGGAAGAAGACGCGCAAGCATGAGATGAGGAAAAGACACAAGAAAAAAAAAAAAAAGAACATTGCACAAACATGAAAGAAAATGAAGAGGCAAGCTCAAATGACGTGGGACCAATATTATATTTGAAAATTGAAGGGGTAAGGTTTGAAAATTCACTGTGCAATGAACAGTGGAAAGCGTCCCTTGAAAAAAAGAACGAACTAGAGCAACGAATAATTTTTAGAAATGATAAGGGCAAAGATGAAAATTTATTGTAGAAGGAACAATACAAACAATATATTCGCTCTGTCTTAAATTATAGAATACTTTTAAAATAATTTTTTTATCTTAAAATATAATACATTTTAAGTAGATTAGGGTTTTATTAAATATACCAATTCTAATATTACATTTTCTCTTTTTATAATTAATTTTCATCCCTCTATTTTTGATATATTAAATAATGAGCATTTTTAAAAGTTTATATTTTTATTTTGAAAAAAAAAGATTATTAAGTATATTTAATAAGGTTTATTGATATGTAAAATTTTGACTTAAAGTGTATAATAACTTGAGATGTAGAGAGTACTTTACAAGAGATATATGATGAGAATACAAATTATAATATAGGAATTAAGTTAAAATATAATTACAACTACAACTGACGAAAACACATGTTTAAGTGTTTAACCGTGTATTGTGCTCAAACTTATGAAATTAAATAAAGCGCTTCAAATTTTGCTACCCTGTCCCTAGTTTTATCCTGCATGTCTTATAGATCTTCTCTTCTACCATTACGCTGGTTTAATCAATTAATTAACATTAGTCTCGGCTTTGGCATTCTAATATTATATAATAAATCATGGATTGACTATGACTTTGTCAAACAAAAAGATTTGCTTAAAAAATTTCTCCTGCTCTTAGCTTTAAACAAAATTATTAGTCTACTAATTTTAATCAATGATTATCGGCTTAGAGGTCCATTCTCTTCTTGTGGATGAATTTCATTCATTCCTATACATATGTGTGTCTATATTTTTCTCACACGATTTTCCTATCACATGAAAAATCATAAAATCACTCTCTTGAATATGACCCTTTTTTTCAGAAAGAAGAAAGACAAAAAAAAAATTCCTAGAATTAAAAAACTGAATTCGTAATGAGAATTAATATTTTAAGTGTATTCTTAATGAGAATTAATATTTTAAGTGTGGTTTAGTTAGATTTGACATTCTATAATTAATCATATATTGACCTTTTAACTTGGTTAGAAATAAAAAAGGAAGAATTCCTTTGAAATCCCACACAATACAATTAAATATTTTTTTACTCAGTTATCAATAGACCTTATAATATTTAAATACGTTATGTGGAATTTGTATAGAATTTTCCCAACAAAAAAACTCACTCCTACATCTCTCTTGTGCTTTAAATGCGTATTGGGCTGCAAATAGAATTGTACAGGCGATAATCTTTTTGCTGGGAACATATCTCCTTCATATGATTATTTAGAATCTGTTTAAAAGAGACCGAAATATGAGAGTGAGATCTACATAGATGAAATCTACTGACTTCATCTGTCGTCTCTATCTCTCTCACAAAATTTTCTCTTTCAACAAAAAAAAAAGTCTTGAAGAAAGATTTTTTAAGCACAATTGAGGGTCAAAGAAGAGAAATTCCAACGACTACTTACAAAATTCTTGCAACTAAAACTAGTTACAAGTTCACAAAAAAAAAAAAAAAACTCAATCCTCCTCTGTTGCTTCTTTTTCTCCCTGCATGTTGGTTCATTAGCAATCACTCAATCCATTACGGAGGACGTTATTCAGACATGACTAACAAGTGTATCAGAGCCATCTTCCATTGTTTCCTCATCGTTGGGATGTCTATGAACATGATTTCCCAACATAGTTTGATCATATCCATATTGCTGCACAATAAGCACTGAAGATTTAGAATCAAAGCTATTGGATGCCAATATGTCACCTACAGCTCCAAGCTCAGGGCAATCACACCAGTCCATGAACCCTGAGAATATCATAGAATTCCTCCCTCTCCCTTGTCCCACTATGTACAAATGATAGTCACCTTCATCCAACTCATTTAGTAATGCAGGAATATCCTCACCCGTATGAACTTCTCTCTCCGAGTAAGCAATGGAGTCCTCATTGTGCATTGCCTTGAGTCTAAATAAGTTCACATACTCATCATCCAACTCTTTCTGCTTGGAGCTATCCAAAACTGTAGATAATATCCCTTTGGGTTCCAATTCAACTGCTTCCTCCACTTTAAATGTAGCTTCATCAGCCATAAGTACCCTCACCATCGAGAGTTGAACGCCAGGATGAGTTGCCATTCTCCAAGCAACAGCTAAGGCTTCACGATCATCAGGTCCACCAATGAAGATCATAAGAATACGACAATTGGTTTTAGAAAGTGAGAATATGCCTCGATCAACGAAAATCCCCACAGAACAAGGTGAATCTTGCATGACATTAGAGTTTATGTCTTTGTATGCACTGTTCAACATCTCTAGATAGCCTTCTGTGTTGACTTGCTTGTGAAAAGGGAGGAGGATGAGGTTGGTGTGTGTTTTTCATTTGCTGTGTTGTATATGTCCTCGTGGATGGTACTATAGCTAGACAAAACATTGAATGTTTCCACACGAATGGCATCATTTAACTCGGCTAATACTTTGAAGGTGTTGGTAATAACTTCTAGCTCAGCTTGTGATTGACTATGATGTTGTGTTCCTGGGTGTGAAAGATGTTGGCTCATGTGGTCAAGGAGCACGAAAGCACCACGACTTGTAAGTTCAACAAGGTAAAGTGCACCCACATAGACGGGGGAAAATCTGGAGGCATGGAAGCATTCAATAATCTTTACCATGCTGCTGGCATGGCGATTGTTATGCACACAAGCCAAAATCCGGAGTTCCGCATCAAGTCTTGAATTCTGTATAGTTCTCATCTTGTTTATCTTAAATCGCTTTCTTGGTTTGTAAGCGACGTTGGTGATAACTGAAGATGATATAGTCATTATAATAAGAGCAGTGACTAGAATTGAGTAGGATGAGACCGTCAAAATCTGCAAAAAGACATGCAGACACGTAAGAGTTAATTGGTCATGTAATCAAAGTGGCGTCTGATCAAATGTTACAAGTCAAATTGATGTATACCTGTCTATCCCACCCCATATTAAGCATGATCAAAGCGACGACACCCTTGGTGTTCATAAGCACTCCAAGTCCCAGACCATCTCGAATAGGGATACCATAAGCAAAAGTAGCCACCAAAGTGCTGAGAATCTTTGGGATGCATAATAAGACGATAATGAGCATTGAAAAGGCCCAATTTCTGTGAGATAGAGCCTTTACCAAGTCCATTCTCATACCAGAGCCTGCAAAAACCAATGGTGCTAGAACACCAGAAGCAAAATCATCAGCTGCTGACATCATCACACTTGTGAATCTCCCATGAGGCAGAATCAACCCAAACACAAAAGCCCCAACAATGCCAGAGCCAAGGACGTCTGTAATATATGCACATATTATAGTTCCCATAAGCACATATAGCAGCCTATGATCATTCCATTCTTCTCGATCTGTCTTTCCATCAATAATTGGCGTGATAATAGGACGAACCACAAAGATGCAGAAAGCAATGAATGCCATGGTACTCATCACAGTGTAGATTGCTCCAGGTCCATCGTCAAGGGTAAATGGAATCATTAACATAAACAGAAGCCAAGAACAGGAGTCGCTGACTATGGCTGCATCTAAAGCTGATCTGCCTAGCTCGGTATAAAGGAGCTTGAGGCTGGCAAGGATTTCAGCAAGTATTGGAAAACCTGTGACCGTAAGACACAGAGACCATAACAAGCAAGCTTTGACAGGATCACTTTCAATGATTTCATTAGTCTGAATGTCGTAAGTTTTTCGATGCAGAGCATATATGATCACTCCTAATGCCATTGGAATGATTATACCAGTCATTGCAACACTAATGGCCTTCTTTGGTGCTCGTAGGACGTTGTCTAAGTTCATCTGCAAGCCAGTTAAGAAGGCGTAGAAGATTATACCTATACTGCTGAAGACTTCAATATTCAGGATTCCCCGTATAGGAAAAAGAAGGAGGAATATTATCGGTATTTCACCCAGCATATCTGCACTTAGTATGAAACCGGCCTGCACGTAGATTTAGATCAATTACTTACAAGTCAGAATGCAGGAGAATCATTCCAAGAGCTTCATTTTGTGTTATGCAATTAAATTCCAACACCAATTAAGATGCCCGGAGCAAAGAAAAAAGAGAGATGTTTGTGAATAAAAGCCGTGAATGTAGAAACTTACAAGAACTTCAGCAACAAGACGAGGGATGTGCAAGGGTCGAGTGATGAGGATGAAAAGACGAGTGACGAATATGGTCCAAAAAGTTTGAAGGGCGAGAATAGGAAGCTCCGATCCATAGATATCACTGGTTTTCCAGACGGCATTGGGGTTTTTCACAGTGAGATTATAACACAAGAAGGGATTCTGCACAAGCATGGCTTCTTCTTGTTTTGTTTTCTGCAGGTATTGCTGCTTTCTCCTGAGAGACCAATGAGAAAAGAGCCGTTGAGTTTGTGAGGAACGAATCAGGCAATGGAGATTTATATATGAAGCCATGGAGCAGAGGAAGAAATGAAGGAGGAAGAGGTAAGTTGTAACGACATTCCAAATATCGGGTTTCATTGGAGGTGGCACATGATACACCCGACCTGTATGTAACTGTAATGGTGCGTTCAAGGTTCCGTCCTTCGCGTTGTTATACCCCCGATGACCTGTTTGTAATGGTATCATTGTAATGACATTATTATTATTATTATTAGTATTAGTATTCACACGTGTTTGTTATCTGTTATTACACGCGTTTATTACACCTGGCCATTTCACATTTTCACTGGACAAAATTAAATACCCATGCCATGCGCATAATATTAAGTAAATTTCCTTATTTAAAATTTATCTTCTAAAATTAATGCAAGCACATTCATTTATGTGAAAACCTGTGTAAATTCTAGTTAGTTTGCTCAATATAGGTATGCGTTGGTCTAGTTAGCTCAAAATGTTGATAGTAAAGTTGACAATTCAAGTCAAACTCATCAGACTAGCCCAAACCAACTAAACAAGATTTAAGGTCGAGTTTAACAAAAAAAATTTTTATGTTCGGGTTTGGCCATGAATACTCAAATAAAAATATATAAAATATAATAAATATTAATTAATTTTTTAAATTTTAATTCATTTTATAGTAAAATACTATACATTTGAGTCTTATACACTGATTAAGTATCAAAAAATATATTTTTTATAAAATAAAATAGTTAATTTTGAAGTAAAAAATTAATTAAAAATAATTTTAAAAATAAAATTTGATATTCTGGTCTTCCAAAGTCTAAAGAAATTTGAGTCAGCTTGACTAGTTGGATTTTTAAAAAATCAAGCCCCTTTGGCTTCATCCAAATTCTTAGCTCTAATTGATTGTTGGGACTCGAGATCTTATAAGAAAAATAATGACAATTGAGCTTTCATTACTTCCATTTAACTTTTCTTTGTTGTCAATTTAATTTCAATAATTTTCAAGCTAATGGCTTTACCCATCGTTACTCTTTCCATCAATTTTAAAAATGTCATTTTCCTCATTAAAAAAATATAATTTTCTGAAAAAAAATGAACTAAATTAAAAAGATAACACTTGTATCGAATAAGATTCTGAAATTTTAAAATGTCAAAGTAAAATTTTACTTTGTATCATGAAAAATTTATTGATTGATAATTGATAATTAATTGCTTTTTCTTTGACCAGATTGATAATTGAGTTTGATTGTTGAAGTAGCTGAATTTATGAGTAAAAACATTAAATTCAAGTAGTTTCAATTTCAATCATTAAAAAGGAGCGCGCAAAAAAGTAAAAACATGTGAGCACATACAAAAATGAAGAGAAATGCGAAGCTTATAAATACCAAAAAGAAAAAAGGGAAAAGAAAAAGAAAAAGAAAGAAATGGCCCGCTTATATTATGTGTAGCTGTTTTCTGCGCTGCCAATTTTCTAACCTGAGAAAATATCTTGCATATGACAGTCTACAGTTAGCAGCTCCTTCTTATCTTCTCGCTCTCTTGTTCTATTCTTTCGTCCTACTTTGCTTGCTTGCTTTTGATAAGGAGCAATAGACATGCATTCTTTAACTTGCATGCCCATTTCCTCTTCTTCTCACACCTTTCTGAAGCATAATCACCTCCCTTTTTTGGGTGATGTTTCGTCGAAGCCATGTCTTCCTTTGAAAAGAAGAGGCAATTTCACTACCAGAGCTTTACTCTCATCTACCAAAGAATCTGTCTTGAGGGATTTTCATGAACGAAGAGCTCTTAAGGTAAAGCACACCCATTTCAAGTCTCTCTCTCTCTCTCTCTCTCTGTCTCTGTGTCCTGCGCCACCTCCCCAGCCTTTTTCCTGAGTGCAAGCACAATTATTTTATTCTTTTGGATTTTAATTTTATTTCCGTTTCTCTAGGCCAATCCTGCAAATGCAGTGGCCTTTCTGTCCTTTTACTTCATGTCTTCGGCAATCGTAATATCCAAGCAGTTCATATTGTTTTAAAATTCATAAATATCAAACAAGGGGATCTGAACAAACATGGGTTACGTTCATCTATGAGGGTTTAAAATGAAGGCATGGATATTAACACTTAGGAAAACACTTGATGTATGTGTATAAGTATATTGCTTCTTCTGTTTATTTTGATAAATCATGATTATTCTCATTAAAATGTATTTGCATGTGACAGTTTCTCATAAAAATCTCTTACTATTATGTTATTGCAATTTCAGTACATGCAATATAAGTATGTTAACAACGACTTTGGTTTCTTTGGCAGATTATCTCAGGCTTGCAGAATTTTAATAAAGACAACATTGCTTCAGTGGTAACTGCTGCAGACAAGGTTTTATTTTCTCCAGCTCTGTATTAGTACTCTTTCTTCAGCTTTGCAAAATACTAGCTTCTATTTCTTATCCGCTAATCGAAACTTTTTAATCCTAGCTCTGAAATATGAAAATAGCAAAAAAGAAAAAGACTAGGGGCTAATCTTTCTCGTGAAACATAATCAGGCAGAGACAACTGATTAGAGTTTGCTGGATATCTGGGTGATTAAGTCACTTTTCTCTATTAGATTTCCAAATTTACTGGCATGTTTTTTCTCCTTAATATGTTCATACTATGACAATTTGACTAAAGGAATCGAGGTTAACATAATCCTTATAGAAGTGTAACCGCATGGTTGTGTTTGAAGTTGGAATGTCGTTTGTGTCTGCATGAAATTATGATTATCCATCAAACGTTTGCTACATCATTTGCTTAGGCTTTCTCACTTGAAGTCTTTCACATTAACGACGCTGGTTCTGTATTGAAATTCAATATATTGTGCTACAGGGGGGAGCAACCCACGTGGATATAGCATGTGACCCAGAGTTGGTGAACCTAGCTATCAGCTTAACTTCTTGTCCGGTATATTCATACTGCTCTAGAGCGCACCTAAACCGTTTCCATAATATGTATGTGAAGTTGTGGACTTAGGCATAGGGTATTTTGAATATGGATATAAATCTAACAAAGTAAAATTAATAGTGACAGACAATTCTTGGTCATACATGATTTCGATTTTACTTTGTATGATGCTTGATTGATATTTTTTTTTCCCTATTCAAGCTTTTACAAATTGTTTTTATTGCTGATAAAATGCAGGAGTCCTAAGGTGGTTTATCCTGTATAGATAGATTTGTTTGATTTCTTTAAGGCCTTTTTGCACCGTGAATTGTTGGATTAACTTGTTCACCTCAGATTTGTCAGTCCAATAAATTAGCTAGTTACTGCATATTTGAGACAACTCCCTACTCATTCTCCTGGCAAACAAGTAGAAATTTCAGAATATAATGGTGAATCATTATGCACTTGTACAAGTGATTTAAGCTTTAATATTGGGATAGGTCAGATGGGGCAGAATTGAGACACTATTTACTTATCTTCATTCTTCAGGGCATTTGAGAGCTATAAAAAATGCATCCTTTTTATTCTGGCAGAGTCAAGAATAGATCAAATGTCAGTAGATTAATCAAAATCTTTCCTGCCTTGAGGAATTTACAATTGATCAATCTTGCAGGTATGTGTTTCTTCTATAGATCCTGCAACATTTCCAGCTGCAGTTGAAGCAGGAGCGCTAATGGTTTGATCTTCTTGCCTAGTTTCATCTGAATTATCAGTTCAAAATTAGCAGAATGGACTATTAAATTTACAGTTAATCATAATTGATGGTATTGACAGGTTGAGATTGGAAATTATGATTCATTTTATGAAAAGGACATGATGTTTACTCCAGAGCAGGTATAGAGCATACTGCACTATGAAAGCTAGAAATTTTTAAGAATTTAGAGCCTAAAGTCAAATAACTGGTCCAGGTCTTCTAGTGATCTGTTTGTTTTCCTTTTATGCAGATACTGGGTCTAACAAAGGAAACTAGGAGATTACTTCCCTCCATAGTTTTGTCTGTCACTGTTCCTCACACACTGAGCCTTCCAGATCAGGTTACGAGTAACCCCATAACTGCAAGAGGATACACTGATGTTGATGCTATCAATATTTGCCTGCATCCCAGATAAAACAAAAATCTATATCCTTAACAGGTCAAGCTTGCTGAGTCACTGGAACAAGCAGGTGCAGATATCATTCAAACTGAAGGAGGAAAATGTTCAAATCCTACAAAGTCAGGTGTTCTAGGCTTGATTGAGAAGGTAACTTAAAAAAAATACCTGGCAGATTATTACACATAACAGCAGATAAGTTGGAGTCTGAACACCATGTGTATATTCTAATGCTAATTTGACAGCTTAATTATCAGAAAGAAAATATTTGCTTCCTAGACATGAGTCTCTTCTCCGATCTTCGTTGCCTTGTCTCTCTTTACCAATTTGTGTGTGTGTGTGAGACAGAGAAGGGGGGGGATGCATCCCAGTAGCTCATAAACCACAGAAAAATGATGGTTTTATCTCAAGCTGACATTTCATATCTAGAACAGATTCACGGACTAGTCCTTACTTATACCCAACAAGAGTCAGGATGCATAGGCAAATGATGTTCAATTGTGAAAAAACCTTAATTTATTGTTATTGTTGCAGGCAACGCCTACTTTGGCTGCAGCATATTCCATATCTCGAGCTGTCAGGATCCCTGTCCTATGTTCATCTGGGTTAAGTGCTGTCACGGCACCAATGGCCATCGCAGCTGGGGCTGCTGGTGTGGTATGCATTCATTTTCTTTAGTTTTCTTCCCGTTTCAATTCATATATCAATCAAAACTACACTCAAAACTAGGCCTTCAAGTGATGGGGTTTTAGCTTGTGTAAATAATTTAGGCAAGAATAACTCAATGTCATGGTGTACAGTACTTGCTGATCAACGTGGTTCTTAATCACAGGGCGTGGGGTCTGCAGTGAATAAGCTAAATGACGTGGTTGCCATGATAGCCGAGGTCAGAAGCATTGCTGATTCACTAAAGACACCCTTCCAGAGACAAGCAGCTGCAGAAGAAGAAACTCAGAGACTTTTTTAGGACTGGGGATTTATGATCCATGAATTAGGCTCAAGGTAGTGTTGTTAGAACTTAGAAGAGGATAGAACATGTGATGGTAATATGAATTCCCTAGAGGCTACAACAGGAATAAGAAGTTAAGATCTGCTATAATCTGTTTTACTTGTTCTCAAATTCTTGTATATGTAATGTAACTCCAAGCATAAAAATGCATGCATTAATACTTTAACACACTCTCTTGGCAGGACAATATTATCTAGTTAAATAGAAAACTGTCTACCCTCCAAACTCTAATTCCTCACCAGTTTCTTCTTATTCATTGCTTTATTGTCAAGCAATGGAAACAACTTGAGTCTTGATAATCTTTTTTTTTTTTTAATAAAAGGCCACAGTAAATCGTGTAGGGTACAACAATTAAGTTATGTCAAAGCTTAAAAGACTTCGACAGTCAATAGGTGAATCGACCGGTGAAATTGTGTTGAACAAGTGAAAGAGCTTCAAGAAAATCTGAGTAAACATTGACCTTAGTAAATAACATTGACCTTAGTAAATTTGTTATCCTAACAAAGGATGGGGCCTTCAAGTGTGGCTAAAAGTTTGATGGCAGTGCTGAGATAATAATCAAGGCATTTAGAAAAACTTTTAATTCAATTTCCTTAGTCATTATGAATGAGCCATCCATAAGTGATAATGCTGTCAATGTCAGTTGAGCCATCAATATCTACTATGACCCATCCAGGATTTGGTGGGAATTGTTTTGCTTGGAATCTCTCATAATCTCAAGACATGAAACTAAGTCTTGATTAAAGGTTAATACCATTGATTATGTCTTGAGTACAAGAGAAGGTGATGTCTTTGATATGATAGTCTTCTTCAAAATAGATTTCTTTGTATTTTTCTGTCTAAATATTCCAATACAACTGAGCGAAAAGCTTCTACCATGGAGTTCCTTTCATGTTTGGTCCTCTTACATTGCTTTTTGCATTCTAAAGGATCCAACCATGCATGGAAGCCTTGATAATCTAAAGTCAGCTCACTAGCCGTGAAAATGAAGGTTCTTTACCATTCTCCTGTTATGTTCTAAACAAATTAATTGTGTTCAAATAATATGTGACACATCCTACGTTCATAACAAGGTTGCATGTGAAAGTTAGTTATCATGACAAGCCAATTGTAAGTTATTAATTTTGTCTAGAAGATATATCTCACAAACATATCCACCTTGAAATCAATAACATATTTTAGAGTGATATACTGATATATTTCTTTTTTTAAAAGTCAATGCAATTTCGTAATTTTAAAAAGAAAGTGATCGCCTGCTCGGTTAGAATTTGTTGTAAACAAGGTTTCCCCAATCTGCCAACCAAATGTAACCGGATTTTGCGGTCAACAAGATTGGTGTGGGTAGATTAACTAGACTCTGTTTCTTGTTTTGTTATTTTAGGTTCAAGTTCCAAAATTAGCTTTTAGCCAATAATTATCAAATCTTCATAAACACAGCATAAAAACCACAATTGAATCTTACATAATTATGCTTTGTGCGAATGAGGGTGACAAATATATAATTATGTGTTGATTTATGTCTTATTTGTTGCTCCCATTTTTAAGTATACTATACATATATGTTAAAAAAGGTTTATACTCCTAAAAAACTTATAAATAAATTAGATTAATTTGTCAGTGAAAATCTTATGTTATTAATGTTTTGGTCAATATGCCTATACATTTTCATTTTCATTTATATTCACGAATATGTGATTTAAATTCTACCTCGCACATCTTGGTTTGAAAACAACAAACCATCAATTAAATATATTTTTTATGAAATATAAAAATTATTCATGAAAACCAGAAATGTATCTGTATTTTTTTTAAAAAAATGAACAGGAAAAAAAAGAGGAGCTAAAACTCATGTAATTGTTTTTACAAAAAAAAAAAAAGATGTAATTGTTAGCTAAACAAAGCGCGCTGTTCGCATCGGACTCGCATGCAAATGGTCAACACATTTTTGGACTTTGGTGAAGCGCTTCAGCGAAATTTGCAGATTAGTTTTCGACTTGCATCGTAATCGTCGCTTGCTTTTTGATAATGCCACTGGATGCGAAGAGTTCGAAGAATTATTTGTCGTCACACGAAAACTTAGCTGCAGATTAAGCTCTTGTATATCCCGGCAAGGCTTAAACACATTTTGCTTTGTTCATCGCAATCATGAGCTAATCCTAACAATTCCCTGGAGTAGCCGAAGTTCGTCTGAATTCCTCATCTCCACATTTCCATCGTTGTTATCGTCAATCCTTTCACTCGCCGCCGCCGCCGCACCATGCTGGCACTTCAATCTCCTACCATTCGGACTTCTCCGTTTGACCCACTTCGCAAATCTCTCAATGCGCCCAAAAGATCCAAAAAGAAAGTCCATTTCATATCTGCCGCTGCGTCCGCTACAGTTTCTGCTCCCAAGAGAGAGAAGGACCCAAAGAAGCGGGTGGTGATAACGGGAATGGGACTTGCCTCTGTGTTCGGCAATGACGTCGATACGTTCTATGAGAAGCTTCTTGCGGGCGAAAGCGGAATTAGCCCCATTGATAGATTTGATGCCTCCAAGTTTCCCACGAAGTTCGGCGGGCAGATCCGAGGGTTCGACTCCGAAGGTTACATTGATGGCAAGAACGATAGGCGGCTCGATGATTGCCTTCGGTACTGCATTGTTGCTGGCAAAAAGGCCCTCGAGCATGCTGACCTTGGTGCTGATAAGCGTTCAAAGGTTTGTATTTTGTGTACGTTCACTGTTTACATGCACTTATCTTCACTTGCTTAGCTTTGAGGTAGAGATATGGTGAATTTCTGGCTTAATGTACTTCATTGTCGGTTTAATTGCCACTATTCACCTGTAGTTCACGTAAGGTTATTAATTACTGCATCATCATCTTTTACTTGCAACGGTGCGAGTGGACCCTGCTTGGTTAACTGTCCTTCTAGTTTACTCTGCTTAAATTTTGGAACACTATTTCGAGCAGGGAATTTTGAATTTGGATGGCCGCTGACTGTTAGATGTTGAATTTGCCGACCTGATTTATTACATGGTTTGTTAGTTCTGTCAAGAGATCTTAACTAAATTCCTGTATAATAAGGATAGATGCACGTTAAGAGATGTGTATAATACTATAATTAGAATAGTAAAGGGGCTTCTATTTTCTCTGCTATGGTACTAGAGCATGGTTTTGATTCCTAGACCTGTGGGTTTTAGATTAACTTTGCTTTATTCTAAAAAGGATTTATATGCATAGGCAGGTGTAGAGGTCAATTTGCATTCAGATATTTAAGCATTAAAATGATTTAGGGAATGGGGATTAGTGCATATTGTTGTAACAGGTTTGTACTATGTCAATTTGGTGGTTTCACGAACTGAGATCTGTCAATGATGAGTTTCTCGATTGATCTCAGTTTGAAGCAAGTTGGATTTATAGAGCAGCTGAAGACTCGAGGGTAGTGCAGATTGTTGATATAAGAGATTCCATGTAATGTGTCTCCAGCATTTTTAAGCAATAAAAAATATTCTGTTGTGTTGTTTGTATTACTTTGTACTTAACCATATTATGACATTGAGAAGCAATCCATTTGGAATCTTAAAACGGCATGCTTGTGATATGTTCTTTAACTCCATAGTATACTAAGTAGAAATTTTACTTTATTTAGGATCAAGCGTTAAAAATGCCCCCCCCCAACCCTTTTTGATCAGAGTAATGCTTTATATGTTATCCAAGAAACATTCAAGTTGTTTAGTTCTTTTTCCTTTGCAGATTGACAAGGAACGTGCCGGTGTGCTTGTTGGGTCAGGAATGGGTGGTCTTACTGTCTTTTCTGATGGTGTCCAGTCTCTAATAGAAAAGGGATACCGCAAGATAACACCTTTTTTTATTCCTTATGCCATAACTAATATGGGTTCAGCGTTGCTTGGAATTGATCTTGGCTTTATGGGTCCAAATTATTCTATTTCAACTGCATGCGCTACCTCCAACTATTGTTTTTATGCTGCTGCAAACCATATACGGAGGGGAGAAGCTGATCTAATGCTAGCAGGTGGGACTGAAGCTGCCATCATTCCCATCGGGTTAGGGGGTTTTGTTGCATGCAGGGCCTTATCTCAGAGAAATGATGACCCTAAAACTGCTTCAAGACCTTGGGACAAAGACCGAGATGGCTTTGTAATGGGTGAAGGTGCTGGAGTACTGGTAAGGCAGAGTTTATTCTGATATGACCTTTGGGGAAACAAGAGCAGAACCTTCATTTTTCTCCCGTCTGTGTCCGTTATATTATGTACAGAGTACTTGGGCTCTCTGCTATAGTGAGTGGCTAGACAAAAATCCATAGTATGGCTAAATACAATTTTTTGTTATAGTTATTAATTTTATTCTATTAAGATAAAATTGGAAATTCTACTGCATTTGTATTTGTGCTTAATCCAAAACAAAACAACTGTAGGAGCTTTATGGGACTATGTATTGGTGGTGAATTGCTAAGACAGTAAAAGTAATTCTACTGCAATTCTCTTTTCCTCTTCCCACCAAGAGTCCGAACAATTCTTTAAAATGCCCAAAAGATTGGTCATCTTGTACAATTATGTACTACAGGCTAGTTTCTGATCCTTATGATTTCTGTATTCACAGGTAATGGAGAGTCTGGAGCATGCCATGAAGCGAGGTGCACCTATTATTGCTGAGTACCTGGGAGGTGCTGTTAACTGCGATGCTCATCATATGACTGATCCTCGATCCGATGGACTTGGAGTGTCTTCATGCATTCAGAGCAGCCTTGAAGATGCTGGTCTGTCACCTGAGGAGGTGCTAGCTATTTTCCTTACAAATGTTTTCTAAGTTATCAAATGCCAATGATTTCCTTTGGATGTGTCTTTACTCTCTAGTAGTTAAATTGTTTGATGGAACCCTCTATTCTAATAAGCTTTAAACAAGCATAAACCAGAAACTACACCACAAATGGGACTGAAAATTACTATTACCGAATAGCAAAGTTGGATTACAGCGAAATAAGGAACTGAAAATTACAACGTACTGAAACAGAAACAGCACAAAATACACTCCACCAAACAACAATAACAAAATATAAGTCACTCACTTACAAACATACACTAAGCAGAAGATAAAATGATGAAGAAAGATGACTTCCTCCACCCCCAACCTGGCATTCGAGAGGCCAGAGCTCTCCTTACCACTCTCAA